GTAAACATAAAGAAATAAGTTCTTCCATCACTGTGTGTTCAAAGGTGGTGAAAAGGGGACACAATCCAAAAGAGAATTAATGCTGATGGGAGTCTAGAACTTGGCTCATCCAGCCTCTGCTCTGCAGTGGTGCTTCTGGTCAGCAAAGATGAGTTGTGATGTCTACCTGAGTTCTGCTCTAAGGTCCTTTCCAGCTTTGTGATGTTGAGTGTGCCAGTTACTCTGGGATAAGCCCTGCTTCTCCTCGAGTGCTACCAGCAAGGAGGAGCCGAGGCGCTGGTGCTGAGCAGAACCAGTGAGCCACGTCCTGGGCGTGACTCAGACTCCTAATCTACCCCAGATGACGAACGGTGATAGAGTCGGAGCCTGTGGCACACGTTCTGCCACTATGTGATTTCTTTGCATCTATGCTTGTCAGGAAGGGCGTTCCAAAGCCAGGCTGTAGGCTGTGTGGAGTCCTCCTCCGCCAGTAATGACTGCTGCAGCCACACCACTGCTTACTTCTTTCTAGTCCTTCTCAGCTTCACTTTACTCTGGAGTTTTAAATGTGTAAGAGTGCAGTGGGATGGGTTGTCGTATATAGTTTCCAAAGCCCAGCACCAAATGAAAACACAGGCTTCTAGTTCACAATGATGAAGAAGTTCAAGAGCATAGTGCAGAGCATTCCCTTGGTTGTGTGCAGGCTTCAGGTCCACAGAGCCATGCCTGGTGGGGCAGATGAGGGAGCAAGAGAGAGATCTGGGGTGCAGGGTGAGACACACTCTGAGACAACTGAGGCCACACCATTATCTTTTTTTTTTTTTTTGGGTTTTTTTTTTTTTTTTTTTAAATATGTGTGTGTGTGTGTGTGTGTGTGTGTGTGTGTGTGTGGCCAGCTCAGCCCACCAGGGGGCGGGGCTGGCTGGCATGTGGTGCTGGGGGATTGAACCGTGGTCCTTGTGCTTTGTTTAGCTTAGCTTGTTCTAAGTAGGTGCTTTAGACCACTGAGCCATCTCACCAGCCCCCCCACACCATTATCTTAAACAAAGGCAACAATGATACATCTTCACCATCTCTACAGAATGCGAAAAATTGTGCCAATGTTACTCTAGCCGGGTGCCCAGATAGCTCAGGACAGTGCCTAGGCTCTGGGAATCACCTGTGTTTGCAAGGGACAAAGGCCAGGACAGTACAAGCGATTTGCGGAAGGCTGCAGGGTGGTGGTAGAGCGTGAGCTAAGACGGAGGATCTTACCTTTCATGCTAATGTTCTTCCTAGCTCTTTTGGTGCAGCCAAGTAACAATGAAATTGTTCTCTTTAATTGTGAGTTAAATTGGAACTCATGCATAAGAGGGAGATGCAGAAAGGGAAATGAGATAAATGATCCCTGAGTGGAGCAAACAAAACAGTTTCGAGAGCCAAGGCAGTTTGTCTGTGTCCTGTCTGATACACAACACACAGCAAAGCAGACAAATGTCTGTGCAGCAAAACAAAACTGGAAGAAGCAGATATTTTCAAATAAAATATGCACATTTCCAACCAGCCTTGAGCTCATCTGATAAGGGACAGATTGTCCAGAGTAAATAGAAAGAGAAAGAAAGATGCTTTGGGCTGAATTTAGTCCTCTGTAAAAATCTAAGGGGGGCTTGCTGTTTCTCTCTCTGAAACCTGTTACCTCTCTGGCTGCAAAGTCTCACAGGGTTGTGAAAGAAAACAGAGTTGTTCAGATATTTGCTTGCTTATTCATCCATTCAGATATCCCATGTCTCTTGAGCACGTGCTCTTGCCATTGTATTGTTCTAGATCCTAAAAAAAAAAAAAGGCTGGGTAAGGCCTCTGCCTTTAAAGAGGGTAGACAGATATACATGGGGCCAGAAGGATGTTTGTACTAGAGTATAATACTAGTGAATACATTGTATGTTACTGAAACTCAAGAGAAGGAGACATTTATACTGCTTAAATTCCTCAACTCAGTTATCTGCCTGCATGTTTTCATTTGCCTCAGAACTTGCAGCCTGTATCCATTCATCATTGCTGAACTCCTACTTCCCACAGAATCACGAGTGGGAATGAGGGGAGAGCTCCAGAGCTGGCATGTGATGTCCTTGTAGACAGGACTGAGGAGCCCTTGCTGATGCACTTCTAGGGATCAATCCCCTTCTGTGTGATCCAGGCAGAGCCAAAAGGCCTGGGGATGAGGTGGGTCTGGGTCAGACCTGGTCATTGACTATGTCACTTGTATTTCCTCCTATCTATCTGGTGACACAGGCAGCAAGAGAGTAGCCCTTCTGAGCCCAGAGAAAGGGATACCTGCATTGTTGCCAGCCTGTCACTCTGACCTCATGCTAATAACGGCAGAAGGAGGTTGTCTAATTAACACAGGCTTTCTAACCCAAACAACATCCATCTACCTTCTTTTTCACCCATACTAGGACTGAAGTAAATGGATAAAGAGGGTAATTTTTAAAAGCTGTCATAGAAGAAAGGAGACAAAACACCAAAGGCAAAAAGATTATTGTTAGATGTCTCCCTAGCAAAATTGTTCTGTGCTTGTCTGTTCCTTGGTGGTTGGATGTATCATCCATCAGGAGATCCTTGCATTTCTTTTTTTAAGAGTGGAAACAGATGTGAGGTGAATTCTCACCCCTAGTCTTGTGTTCTGCAAAAGCATGCTTAGTGTTCATGTAAATACTTAGAATTTACAGCGCTCCTGCAACCTCCGGGATCTCATTTGCTTTCTCAACATCCAGGAAAATGAGTGTAATCTGTACTACAATTCCCACTGTACAGAAGACCGAACTGAGTTTCAAGGTAGGCTAAGCTACTCGTCTTTGAGGTCAGAGAGTGGCAGGCCTGGGACAAGTGCCAGGTGTTCCCTGCGGTGCCCTTTGTACTGCTTTTGCTCCTGCTGGAAGAACCATGTCTGCTGCCCCAGTTTCTGCAAGCTGGAGTGTGTTTGGAGCTCAGCTTGAGTTGGGAAGGCACTTGGAGCTAGCTGCCACGTAGACCAGCAATGCCTCTTCAGAATCTCTTTTTGTTTAAAATAAAACAGTTCAAGCAGCAACGCATCACCTGGTCTCACACTGAGGTGACTGGGCTGGGAATCCAGCACCTCTCTGATGCTTACTCTTTCATTTATCCGCCACCCCAAGCCATCATAAAAACACTTGGAGCTGAATGGGGACAGCATTTCTCTCTCAATTACTCCTAATTGTCCTGCAGTTGTGTGGTGTCTGAGTGCTGTGGCTTGTATACCAGTTCAGAGAAATTCTCCTTACAGCCTTGAGGCTGTATTGGTGGAAGGGAGGCTATGGATCCATTAGCTCAGGCAACTGGCTCAGTCGATGTCAAGTTGACATTTATATCTGACCCTACCATCAGTATTTGTAGAAATCCTAGCTCTCCTCTCAGCCCAGGCCCAGCATTGCCTCCCTTCTATGAAGCCCCCTTGCAGTCCATACCCCCCTTGGGTTGTCACAGCCCTTGCTCTGATCCTGTCTACAGTGTTTCTCTTGTGTAGGATCCTGTCTACATCCTTTATGGATGCTGCTGTCTTAATTCATGGACACATTCCATTTTCCTGAGCTCCACCAGAGACAGCATCTAGTTTGCTTTTCTGTCCTTGTCTCCTCAAAGAACAGCCAAAGCTGCTGCTCAGCAAACTATGTGTGGAATGCATGCATCTGTCTCTTTTGTCCGTGGCCTTGTGGAGGCAGTAAAAAGTCCATTTACTCCATTTACTCATGTGACCTTAGATAAGCTGCAAGAATCTCTGTCTGAGTTTCTATGGAATCTCCCCAGGCTTCCGTATGCCTGTACAAAACACTATCCTGGGGTTGAGTATCTGTTCTATTTCTTTTTTAAAATAATAGAATCTAGTCACAAATTCCTTGGTGTGCCTTGATTTCTCCAGCTAGCAAATGAATACAATCTGACTTGGTGAGAATCTACTGACTAGCATGAAGAGTCGAAGATGAAAAATTGAAATTCAGTCAAAAACATTCACCACTCTATTTTCTGTTCCATCTTTCCTTCCAGTGATCCACCTACTTATGCAGTTAATACTTGATTTTTGTACTGACTCTGTGTAGAGCACACTTATTTGGATTTCATAATGTATTCTTAAGTTTCATTTTCATTTTTATCACTGTTGCTAAGTCAAGTTTTATCCTGGGCTCATTCTTATGAGCTTCCTTTCAAATTCTAGCCATATCTCTGAAGAAAAAAATGAAGTCCTCCATTTACTTATGAGTAAGAATAAAAACCTGAAAGGAAATACAAAAGCAAAAAGAAATTCAGAAGAGTAAAATATTCATAGGCCAATAATCTAAAAACCATTATATAATGGATCACAGTTCATTAAATAGATACTAACTAATTTCTAATCATTCAATATATGTTGATTTGTTACTCCCTATGTGCCAGGCATCGTGGGGTATATGTGGGAGAATAGAATGTGGCCAGCACCCTCAAGGAGCTCTCAGTCAAGTGAGGAGGACACAGGCTTACATAGAAAAATGTCCTGTGACAGGTACTGCAGAGGAAAGACTGAAGAGATATTGCACAAGTATGTGTGTTTGTTCCTACACATATGCTTTATATGCCTTTTCCATTTGTGATTCAAAAATGATGCTGTTTAATCCCATAACAATCCAACAAGTCAAATCATCACAAAAAATATTACCCATAGGAAGGTAGCCTTCAGGCATGAGTCTCATTCTAGCATCTTGGAAGCATACAGACATGGGGCATGTGTAGAAGAGAGCTCCTGCTCACCCATGTCAGGATTCAATCAAGGAGGAACTTGGCAGGGAAATCCAGGGCTTCTTGTGGGAGAGGACTTTGCAGAGGTGTGTCACCGCAGGACGAGAAAGTCCCCACCCACAAACCCAATTCCTTGCCTCTGACAGGTTGAGTTCCACCCTGTAAACAATTTCAACCCTTTTATCAGAAGCTTTGTTTGAGAGTGAACGTGTAGCTGTACAGCCCACTTGGCAAGCTGAGGCTGTGGGTGTGGTGTCAGTACCAGGGCTTTTCCTATTTGGCTTCCACGGAGCCAACCACACCTCCTCTGACCACTCTTGGTGGTCTGGCTCCCTTTGTTTTAAAGAGAAAGAAGACCCTTCTGGACCAGCTACAGCCTACTGAGGTAGGACCAAGGCTCTTGTTGCTATTTCTGCAGGAATGGGGTTTCTCTCTATGACTTCTTTCTTGTTTCTAGGCTGGGTTTCTGGATGCCTCTAGCAAGAATTTGCAAACTTGTTCCAGGCTCAGAGTTTTGGATGACAGTGTAAGATTCCTTTATTCTTCCTTAGTGTTCAGGGTTGGTAGGCTTTGGCCCAGAGATTTTCAGCTGATGTAGTGAATTGAATCTGCCCAGGAGGGTATTAGGTTTTTTTTTTTTTTTTTTTTTTTTTTGTGTGTGTGTGTGTGTGTGTGTGTGGAACTGGGGATTGAACTCAGGCCCTTGCACTTGCCAGAGAAGCTCTTACTCCACTGAGCCATCTCCCCGGCCCCCAGGAGGGTAATAGGATAGGCACAGTCTTCTCCATTTGGTGAATCAGTGAAATGAAGCGTGGTCAGATTTGCCCATCAGGAGAAGGACAGATGGGATTTGCTTCCCCTTTCTTTCTCCTTCTGCTACAACACCCAGCAGGCCGCTCTCTAATCTGAGAAGCTGAGGAAGTGCAAGGATTCCCCGAATCTCCCAGTGGCCCGCAGAGTGATGATGGCTTGGCAGCCACATTCAGAGCTGTAAGTCTGAATTCTTCTGAGAGAGACTTTGTGATTATATATGCGGCCTACAGACAGGGCTGCATTTAGATAACAGCTGAGAGTGTATACGGGAAGGACTTGAAAACATATAGTGACTCACGAAGGTGAGAGTGACAATGACGTGAAGCCTGATACAGCTCTGGATCTCTACACAGGAAGCTTTTAATTTGGGGCTGAGTGACACTCTCCCAATGTCAGCAGCAGCACCGTGAGGAACCCGTCGCAGAGGCCCTTTTAGCTTTCCCGTCTCACTGCGATACATGGGAAAGCAAATCTGATCGGGGGCGGTGGGGTGCCCCAAACCTTTGCAAGCTGATTCCTGCAATTTCCTCTCTTGACAGCTATCAGCATATCACATTGTTCCAGTTTCAGGAAAATCTCATCGTCAGTATTTATGTAGTTTAGTTTTTAAGCGTTATTTTTAGCTATCATTTCATCTTAATGTTCAAATGGTTATGTAATTCTGAATTATGAAAGGAAATGCTTCCTTGGAGAGAGAGATAGAAATAGAGACAGAGACAGAGACAGAGATAGAGACACAGCTAGGCATAGAGACATGGACAGGGAGAGAGACAGAGACTGTTAGGACAGAGCTAGTATCTGTCCCTGTACTGCAATGTAGTGGATTGCACTGCTACATCACTTTTGAGATGCTTCGTCTATTCTTAGAGTCTTTCCAGCTGACAAGGTCCTGAAGACATGACTCAACTAATTACTTTATTCAAGGTAGAAAATTTGTGTTACAGAAAGATGAACTATTGTGCAGAATATTATACAAACAGTGATCCCGCAGGTGTACATAAAACGAGAGTCTCCTACGGTTTTGCTGACTGTGGCATGCAACACACAAGGCTGGGCACTCTGAAGCAGCAACATTAACTACGCCATTATGTGGGTTACACACAGATGTCCTAGATGGCTCTTGCAGTGAAAAGGGTTATCACTTTGGCCTTTGGTTTCCATCTCAGGAAAAGTCATTATACTCTGTGAAATAGGAGACTTTGCCAGCTAAGCTTCTTTCCTTTGACTTGGTTCTTACGGAGTATCTGTGTCAGCCAAATCAAGGGACTGCTCATTGGTTGTAGAATGGGGATACAGGTATGAAGAAAAGTCATCTTAATTTTCTTCACTCAGGACTTTTAAAAATAATCTTTCAGGGTCTTTTCAAAAAGCTGCTGTTCATTTCAATATTTTCAGAAAGTGAAAACTAATTAGTTTTTCATTAAACATTGTCAAATTGAATAGCACAATCAAGTCTGCCTGTCCGCTTCATCCAGCACTAGCAGTCCAGTGAATCTAGCATGCACATATGTTTTGTTTGGGCTTCAGTATGAAACAAAATCAAACTAGTATTTGGTGCATTCCAATTCAAGGACATTTCTTATAAAAATCCAGATTATCATTGTGTGAGATAAGGAGATGCAGTCACAGTGGGCCCACATTTCCCTAAAGATAACACATCAGCTGGGGCTGGGCAGTCTCTGCTTACCGTAGAGAGAGTGTGTATCTTCAGTCCTTCTTGGCCCACGTGTATTTTACTTAAGCTGCTAGATGTTTGAATTTGTCCCAAATGAGCTATTCTAGTTTCTCAGGTGCTAAGCTTCCCTTAAATCATTCTCTTTCAAATCTCACTAGATCAGTGTCATAAAGAAGAGGCAAAGTTAATTCTTGAGCCCTAATCTTTCATTGCTTAAGTGGTAGGGAGAAATAAAGTGACTTCTTCAGAATAAACCAAATACTTAGCATATTTTCTTGAGTTAAATATTAAGACACAGTCATATGAAAGCAAAAGATTTAAGGAATCTAATATTCTCCTAGAGTAATATCTAAGAAACTATAAGAGAATAGGGAAGAAGGATGACACTTTCGGAGTAGTGCCCTTTACTTGAGCGATCAGTTGAAGAGTGAAGAAGGAAAGGGTGATATATGGTAACACATAGATAGCAGCACAATGCTCTGAGTGTCAAAGAATATAGAACAAACAGCTGAGATAGTGGGAACTAGGCCAATGATATATTTGCTACCAAGTACTCACTAGTATAATAATCACCCTTGTATATATTATGGTCTATAAAATCCTAAGCTGAAAGATTTAGGGATGAAATGCACTGACTTTTCCCCAAAGGGACTTCTACCTGGGTTAGAAAATATGTATTCAAGTGGCTACAGCACGAGGGAAAAAAGATGCTCTTTGAGAAGAGGAAGCCTAATGCCTTGGTTTTGGTGTGTATGGCAACTGGGTAGGCTTCCTTAAGAGACAGAGAAAATATTATTTCAACTGGGCTTTGGACAGACAGAGTTGAGAAGTCTCCAGTAAGAGTTTAACAAACTTACAAAGTACTGCTCAAAATGTACTTACAGGCTAGAAAGCATTTGCCATTTTATTACAGGGCAAGCCAGAGTAAACTAAACCTACAGTGAAAATCTGGGTGCTGAATGCAGACAGAAGGTTTTAGGTCAAGCACAAGTTGGTGAATCTAATGAGCCTTAGAACTACTGACCAGATCGCCATTGGTCCAGGATCACTGCCCTTAACCTGCGTAACTTGGAAGTAGCAAACTATCTAGTCAGGTGTATTTTACTTCTGTTTTAATTTTCCAGGAAAATCATTGCAATCCTGCTGCTCTGCTCCCAGGGGAAAGAATGTCCCAGCTGTGTAATCTTCCATAACAAACATCATTGAAAACATCATTAGTATGTGATTGATCCAATATGGTTCTCAATATTTCTGGTGGATTTCAGGGAATGTTCCCACCTTACACAGGACTCCACTGGTCAGCCTAGCAATGTTTATAAAGTCCCAAACATCAAGGTATTTGGTAAATAACCAAAACTTTCTAACTTTTATGAACATGATTATGTGTGGGATTGCTGCAGACTTGTAGCTCATATATCTCATAGTCTATGCTTCAAAGGTCAGTAGGAGGCATAGTAATATGAAATATTTGAACAAGATTCATGCTTTCACTCTATTTATTGAACATCTGTTCACTTAAAACATCTGTTCAAGTTTTTTTTTTCCACACAACACTACCTTTTGAAAATTAGTTCCAGATTTTGAAAATAAGGATTAATTTTTTTTGTAAAACTTGCAAGTAGTTCTAAAAATAGTAGTGAGCAAAAAGGAATATTCCCTGCTCTCAGCAAGAGACATTTTGGTGAGACAGGAAAAGACAAAGCAATTGATAAAGCATATAAGAGATGTAAAGAAAAATAAGACAGGAAATGTCATGAGAAAGAATTTATGGAGAGCTGAGATTTTTGGAAAGGATACTGAGGGAGGAACAAGCATTTTTCTTGCTCCAAAGTTGTAGGGATATGACAGAGCCAGTCATGTAGTTACTGGGGAAAATAGCATCTAGGTGGCTGGAAGGGCATGTGTAAAGGCTCTTCAGATGGAAGCTGCCTACCAGCACCTTTGATGGATAAAACTGAATTTGTCATCAGCGTGCTTGTGGTGTTTACAGAACTTTCATTAATGTGATCACAATCTAAGATGCAATCACACGGTAGACTTCTGAGGTGTTGCAGTGCTTTGGGGGTGATGCAGGTGAACAGAACCCAGTCAGTGGTGTAACAAATAGGACAGGGTGTGGTAAGAGGCCCCACACCAACAGGAGGAACATTCTTATCACTGAAATCATTTAGGATCCCCAGAACATGGAAATAATGGGAAATTTTGGTGATGTCTATATGGAGAATTTATGCCCTTATTTTCTGTACCATGGTACTGGCCACCCTCACCACTAGCTTTGGCCACTACTTCCCTCTGCTTCTGCTAGAACTGAGAAAGGAAATGGAGAAGAAGCGGCTGTAAAGTGCTAGCTAAGTACGGAGAGTCCTGAGAACAGGTGGGGAAGCCACCCAGGAGGACAGTGTTGTTCCTTGTGACAGATGCTGCTGAAAGTCGGAGTCAGATGCTCCTTAGGAGCAGAGAGTGTAGCACTGTACCTGGAGTATTGCAGGGCAAAGAGCAGAGCAGGCACTGGAAAGGGCTGACAAAAGGGTCTCTTTTGAGGAGCTTTGGAAACTAAGCTCTAGATGGCAGGGGAGGTAAAAGTAAGAGATTTCTTTTTTGTATATAAGGTGAGATAAAATTGAGAACAATATATTTTCCTAGGGATTATAACTTGATAACGCACATACATAGGGCGTTTTATTTAATCTATTTACCCACCCAGAGAGGGTATGGTAAAGGTTATCATCTTACATTTATCAGGTGAGACTCAAAGGCTTAAAGTTACACAACAATATAATGAATAGAATTTTAACCTAAGTTCTGAAAGTCATGTTCATGGTTCTCACTACCTTTCTCCACCGAAGTACTTTCAGAAATGATACATAGATTTCGAATCCTGCAGACCTTTCACTCAT